CATGTTAATTCGCTTGCCTGCTCAGAGCAATGCGTACCCGAAGCCTCGGCGTCACCCTCGGCAGCCGGGGCATCCGAGCAGTCGGCGTCTTCGTTGTCGTCGGCCTCGCAGAATCACATCCAGACTAGCAGCTTTCGGCCAAATGCCTGGATCTTCATCCTGCCGTGTCCAGTTTGTGAGCTTTACGAGGCCCAACAACGAAGATGTTCGCCCGACATGGTTCGGGATCGCACGCAGAAGTGTGCCGACAAATTGAGCACTGCGAGCAGGAGGATTGTCCGGAGCATGCTCGCAATGTATCCTCAATGGCCTCTTGTGGCCGGTTCCAGAAGCATTATCGCTCGTTCTGGACTGTGCCGAATGGTTTAGCTCCCCAGTTCAAGGTTGGTTCGCCGCGATCTTGTGAAGACTGCAACCGAATCTGCTGCTCGGGGTTGCAGACGGCCCTGTCAAACGAAGAGGTTTAGTTAGTCCGCTGCTTCGGCTTTGCCCACACATGCCACACGAGCTTGCCGAACTACTCACGGCTCGTTTACAGCTTCCGAACATCAAGCCCACAAATGAGATTTGCCGATTGTGCACACGAACGGCTGAAGAGGCCGATCAGATATGACTATGAATTTACACGCGCTCGAAGCCGACTTGTAATTGGGCATCCATATCTTGAAATAATTATGTGTTGCTCCGCGGCGCCCTCCGCCTTCCGCCCGAGCTCTTCTCCTTACATATGCCAGGCAACCTATCATAGAATGCACCTCGTTAGTCGCGTCGATCCTACACTCACACACAATTCGGAAACCACACACTGAACCTTGCACCCCCCTAATTTGTGCAAATTAAGGACGGCCCGGCCCCATATAGTACCTTGCAGTATGACCACGGAAGATGGAAGTCATTTGAGTATCACTAGTGACACTAGTGAGCAAAAAGACTTCAGGGAGGCGCAAGAACTGCCCAGCGCTTGATGCAGGCTGCCCCTGGAAAGCACCGCGCAACTTTCGCCAGACTTCAGCATTCACCTGGCCTGCGACTTTGCCCCAAACTCTGCTTCGGCTTCGGTTGCCCTTCGCACTTCTCGGACTTCGAACCTCAAGCACATGCTCGTCATCGCTGCATGAAGTAACTGAGGATCATTGCGAACCAGGAGCCGGCAGCTGTCCTCGAACTCCGCTATCTTCCGCTCCAAGTTCTCCGCCTACACAGCGGGATTCACCATAAGTCGCCAACAAACACGGCAACGACAGATTTCGACTTATGTTGAGGGTGGTGTTCAGTTGACGGCGCTGCTTGGTGACACTATTGCGGTGTTCACTTTATGGGCAACTCCGATCACAGGAAGGGGCCGTCACCTGCATGGGAAAGATTCCTTTCTATAGGAACACGAGACACTCCGTAGTGCCGTAGCGAGCCTTCACGGGAACAACCGGTCCTTCCAGGCTCTGATATGCCATGAGGGCACCCTTGCGCAGCTGCCGAAGCAACTCCAGCGTCTCGGCACCTGATAACCAAAAAGCTCAGACTGAAGACGTGAAGGATGAAGGCTTGTGGGAAGCACACCTCGCCTGCAGTGCTGGCGTCTTGGTACTCTGCCAAGGTCCGCGTCTCTTCCTGGGTTCTGTGGGCGCCGCGATTTCAGCCTCTATAGTCAGTTCTACTCCACGCTGTTTGGCTTGGCCCACGCGCAGCCGAGCGTCCGCCCGCGCTTGGTCCAAGCGGCATCGAGACGCTTCGGCGTTTGCCTCGGACACGGACCCTTCGCTCCTTCGCTCCCTCGGCTGGCGGCCCTGGCTGGGGGCATCCTGGCCTTAGCCGTCTTCACATCCTCCTTGGACTTGGCCCAAAAGGTGGCTGCAGCCTTGGACTCCGCCTCTGTTGCCTGCTGTGAAAGGCGTGCCGATTTGCCGAATTCTCAATTCTCTGCTCGGAGCTCTGGCCTGCGCTCTTGCCGTTGCTGCTTCGGTGCTGGTCTGGGCTTCCTCACTGGTAAGATCCTGTGCAGCGAAAAGAATCCCCTAGGTAAAGGGAGCACCACCCTTCGGAAGTTCGCAGACGTCCTTGCTGAGCTGCTCCATGTGTGCCTGAAGCGCCTTCGTGATCAGCTGCGCAGCTGCCTTCTCCAAGAAGGATCTGGTTTCTGCCGGCCTTCCAAAAAAGCGACGTGAACACCAAACCCCAGACAAAGCCGGGCCGGGCCGCCAGGCTTCTGCAGCACAAGCGGCAGCGTGCAGCGCAAGGAGTCCTTGCAGGCGGCGACTGCACAGCGAGCACCGCTTCGTCCGTGTTCAATGCCATCATGCACTCCAGAAATTGCATGCCACACTTCGCTTCAAAAGGCCTCTAAGTTCTGTCTTGCGCAGCAGCACGTGCACTGTGCACACACTTTGTTGGGTGCCCGTGATCGATGTGTATCATGTCTCACCGCCATTACCCATTAAAAGACTCATGTTTGGGCACGCATACATCGAGACTCGAACTTCTGGCCGCGACAACATGCAATCAGCCCGGCTGCTGTGCTTCTCCAAGAACGAACACATCTACATGTAGATATGATAGTATAAATGATAAATAGTTCTGCTTGTGTTTATGCTGCTGCTCTGCATGATCTACATCATCGTCCATAGCAGGAGCACTTGTCCGCATTTGGTACGCTGCTGTCACCTGCCCTTATATTCCACAAACTATCATGTCGATGAAACGGCATGCAAGTACTTCGCAGCAATCGGCTGAAGCTCATCTGCCGGCTTCTGCCATAGTGAAGGCACTGCATCCCAATTCCACCAACGACATTCTCACATGCTTCGTCGTGTGCAGCACAAACTCGTCTAATCAGCATGGCAAGTCGTGGCAAATGCTCCCACTTCTTCTCCTGGCCTCGAGGCCCAAGTTGTCGCAGATCTTCTGCACTCTGGCAATTTGCTCTGCCGGCATCTGCAACTCCTCTTGCCGCAATGTACGGCCAAACCCGTGCAGGTAGAAATTTAGACTCGAGCATGCTGATGACACCTCTGCCCCTTCGAACTTGCGGACTCTTTTCTCGAGGCAACTTCCGGCCAGCTCGAGTCCTTAACTTCTGCCACAAGGATGCTCGTCGCTGACCTTGATTCTCAAACATTCGCTTCAGCTCGAGGAGCACAGCAACAGGCCTGCAAAGGTCCAGCTCCATGTGCCCCACCAGAAGCTGGGCCTCAATGCGATGGCTGTAGGACGCTCAGCGATAAGCCAAGCTTCTGTGCCACTCTTGATCGGAGAAGTTAAGTGTCCAGCCTCAGCCGTGCTGCGGGCCGCCTCTGCCTGCCGCTCACGAGAAATAGCATAGACGGCTGAGTACACCCTGCGATGAATGAAGAGTCGACGAAAGATAAGAGTGAAGCTGCGAATGCATGACTGAGCCGCCGCTGGTCACGTCGCACCAACCCTTGTGCATGCTCTCACTGCATCTTGAATGCACCAGGTACGGCAGTAAACCATTGCACAGGCACTCGTTCAATACTCGTGTAAGAAGCAACCAAGTCAAAAACTGACATGTTATGTCCGTCGGACGGCGTTTACATTATCTTTGCCAAAAGCTTGCGCATGTGTTTAATGTTCACCCCGAGCAGTTTCACGACCTTTCAGCCCCGGTACGGTTTTTGCCCGGTGTGATGGTGCTGAGCACCCGTTCCGGGAGCCTGTTGATCATGTTGGTTGCATGCATGGCCTCAATTTGAGTCTTTGTCGGCACCCCACACACGCTTCCCCCATCCCCGAGCACACGTGCAATCGGCAACGGTGAAACTGAGGAGCTGCAAGTACTGCGCCCAGAAAACCAACTACAAGCCCTAGGCCCGCGAGAGGATAGGTTGCTTGTTTGGTATTTCGTTCGGCTGGTATTTCAAAAGCCCCAACAGGCTGCACATCCGCATTGAAAAATCAGTGATCAAGCATGCATCCTTGCACCAAGCTCGCTCGTGTTGCCATGTGGATCTTGGCAACGACAAGTCTCTCGTCACCAAATATCCCGGCTGGCGCTGCTTTCGCCAGATCAGCTCGGGGAACCCAGTGCGAAGAACATCAAAGAACACACGAGCAAGCGTCCCTCAATTCGTCGCCAGCGATGCCAAGGTCGCGACTGTTTCGCTAGGTATTGCATAGGGGCTTGTTTACACTGCGCGGCTATTCTCTTTATGTGCTGGCTGGCTCGTGAGTGTCATGCGAACAAGAGCAAGGATTTCGATTTCATTAGCGGTACTACCATATGGCCATCCCCAGGGAGATCGTCATCTGGAAAAGCCTCATGACTGCTGGGCAGAGCCCCGCCGCAGCAAATTCAGGCCGCGCACGTCAAAGGCAGATAGGGAATCGAATAGCATCTTTTACGAGCAGTCTCACCAGCCTTCTCGTGACTGTGCCTAAGCTAAAGTACGGTCGATGATTGGCATCTTGAATGTGTAGCCATCTCGCTTGAGTCTGCCATCTACACACAGACCGGTAAGCATCTGCCGCTGTGCCTCTGCAGCTGACTTCTGCCTGGCATCGCTCTCCATCCTGGCCGCCTCTTCCGCAGAGAGACACAGCGCCAGTTGCTCCTGGCAGGTGCGAGCAGCGATGAGCAGATCAACACAAGACATCTCCAAGATCGGTCCTCGGCACGCTCAACTTCTTTCAGCCTTTGCGAGACGGTGTTGGCGGTCTTCTGGCTCTGCCTCGCTGCCAAAAGAACCTGCCCCGAAGGTGACGTGCCCATCAGCTCCAAACCGGACGAGCGAAGCCTGTTCTTTGGCTGCGTACTTCTCTTGCAAAAGCCGCTCAAGGAGGCTGACCTCCATGTCCTTTAGAACCTCCAGTGGTTCCGTTACACAACCGACTCAAGACAGCCGTGTACCAACGTACCATAATGCAGAACCGAACCGGTGTCCTCCCCAATGAAGCTGGAAAGCGCGACCTGCTCAACCATTGCATTTCGGCGACACCCTATATAGGCCCTATGCCGTAAGACACGGGTGATGATCATCCCGACCCAACTGACCTGGCGTCTCCCATGTCTGCTCGTGTCTAGTGCGCTGCTGGTGCAAACAATGGCCACAAGGGCATTATGCAACACAGCAACGGAAACACCAGTAGAAAAAGGCTGGGGTGGGTAGTCCACTAGCTGCATGTCCCCAAGACTTGTAACCGGCAGAGGTCTCCATGGACAAACTTCGGAGTACAGGACCAGAAGCCGAACAGCGGATATTTGGCCTACCGCATGCAGGACCCTAAATGTTCGAAGGCCTGACGCTTGTCGCGATCTCCTGGCAGAACCTGACAACATGCTTCGCGGGCCGCACCATGTAGAACAGCTTGGCGAGAATAACTTCAGCCGCGGCACGCCCAGCGCCGGAGGCACCGCTGATATCAGCATTTCTCGACAAGCCTGCGGCATCTGCTCCGCCTGACACCACACCGCACATTCCAAGGAGGCATTCCCTAGCATCCTCTTCATCGTCCGTGAGGAGCCTAACCCCAAAATGTTTCAAGTCCACCTTTAAACAAGAGGACGGCCTTGGAAATGACTTGGGCCACCGCGGCGCAGCGCTGAGCTGTTGCATCTGACACATCTGAGCCTTTCAGCCGTTTCGGCTTCGGCTGATTGCCTTGTCGGCACCTCCCAAAACCAAGTTGAGCACGAAAGATTATCCAGCATCAAGCGCCTGTATGCCTAACATCGAACAGCCGTGAGATGTCCAACCTCTTGCTGGGCGCCATGCTATGGTGCTATGTCAATAACGCTTAGCAGTGAAATGGGCTGAGTGTTGATAAGGTTCTGGTCGGTCTGTCGTTCCTATGTGGTCGCCCTTGCACTCTATAGTTTCTATGACTGCGCAAAGGGCTGCAAGGATGCCGACATGTGAATGCTTCTAGCCGGCACGTGATCGGCGAGTGCAAGTGTTAAGGCACATGACACCAGAAGTCCATGCGGAAAGCTGGCCGGGTTAAGCCGACGCTCTTTTCCTGCGAAACTTGCGGAGAGCTTGCCGGTTTGAAACGTACCTCTCCCGGCTATGCTCTTTGCACAGCCATGGCTATAAGTCTGCACGACTTGGCATGTGGTCCTGGCCGCGCTCCCTCTCAGGTCCATGTCACGGAGGCCTGCCAGCTACTTCCACGCAAACTGCAGGGATCGTGAGGGTCCGTGGCATACAGTAGGTAGGGGTTGCACCCGAACGCGAAGTTAAGCGGCGGGGGATTGCGGAGGCGGAATTCCGCTGTGGGCCGTTGCAATCCTTTGCGGCTTGAATTGCTTGCAGCTCTGTGTTGACATGTTTTCAACCATCTGGCATCGTTTAGTTTCTGTGAAGAGCGGCTTGGATTCGATTTCGATTTTTCCGTTGCTTGGGATAAAGGCCCTGAGTCGGCAACGTCGAAAGGCTTTCTATCCGACACTGTGGGAAATCGGGGACCTGCTCTGCAAGAAATGCGGCGTCCGATCGCGCTGGCTCCAAAGATGCGGCCCAGAAGGGGCCTTGCCCTCGGTGGTGGCATCATCACTGAAGCTACCTAGGCTGAGTATCGACATCTTGAAGCTGCAGTGGGCCAAGGGCTGGTCATGGGCTCTCTTCTTCAATAACCGGGCCCAAAGAAGTTCAAAATGCTTACATTCTAAGATAGAGCAGATATACAAGGCCAAGAAGCTTGAAGTTCACCCATTAAATAAGCTGTCTAAGTGGGCGGTGCGCACACTTCGCTTGCAATCTGCAGTGCTATTGCTGAGTTGAGAAAGCTTTGGCTTGTCGGCACCATTGACCAAATTGAGGTCCTATTCCGAGAGGGCTGCTCTTCCTCACGTTTCCGGGGTTTCTGTGCTGTGCTGCACCGTGCCATGCTGTGGCCAACAACTGCAGCTGCACAGGTGGCTGAGCCAGCTGCGGGTGGTGCACCCCAGACCATAGGAGGCGCGGCCATGGGCACGGGAGCAGAAGGCCTCCGCTGACGAATCAGCCCATGCGACTCCTCTTTCAGAATCCCGGCTGAGGCGAAAGCCAAGCTACTGGCGGCGACATTCCTGGAACCTGACGGGAAGATACTGACAGGACACAACGTGTACGGAACACAGAGACACAGGTACTGTAGTTCCTCTCCCGTCGGGAATAGGGACTGTGCAGTTCGACCTCCCTCTTTCTAGTAATTTCCAAAGAACTCTGTCTTTCCTTGTTGGGGCTGTTAACAAATGTGAGTGAAAGCTAGTTTCACGCGGGTCATTGCAGACTTCGGCTGTGGGGAAGACCGCACTGCCGAGCAAACAGCATACCTTACAAGGCCAGTGCTACGAGAACGAACAAAAGAGCCTCTCCTGCTTTCTTTCTGGAGCCCCGGTGTTCAGCATCAGAGGGTGCATTTGGTTGCGGCTGACGGTGGTTGACCGAATCATCGGGATTGCGAGGAAATTCCGTGAAACTGGGTGCAGATGCGCGAATGCTCGTGGTGAAAGAATGCGTTCGACTTTAAAATCAAGACAACCTCGACAAAGACTGTGTGCATGCTATTGCGTTAACCAGCCAGCTCAAGGACCGTCGCAGGCTTAGTCAGGACAAGAAGACTGCGTGTAAACGGAAGCCTGCTCCTCTGCTACCTCTCCTCACTTACTTCACACACCTCTTCTGCACGTATTCTGAATTCAGTTTTGCTGGCTGCTACATTGAACAACGAAAAGCAGCTCTCTCGCTGGCGATTCCGCGCGGTCATAGAAGCCGGTGAGCCGGTGAAGCCCTTTCTCAGGCACCGGCCCATGCAGGTGGCTGACGGTAGCCGGGCGCCGGGACTGGCAAAGCCTTGTTGAAATCCCCTCAGTCCCTTTCGATCCCTGGCTCTCGAACTACCTGTAGAACCCAAAAACTCTCTGTCGAGACCGGTGCCGTCCGTGGCGGCGGAGGCCAAAGCCTCGGACCGGGCCGCACCTAGGCCAATCAAGCGTTGACCCGCCGTCCCCCGGTCGGGCAGCAATGCAAAGGCCAGCACCATGTGGGACAAGCTCGCCCCCGGAGCCTGCAAGGGAACAGGGGCATGAAACAACCCGGACAAGAAGCCGGACAGCTCGGACAGCAGCCCCGAACAGCCCGGACAACAACGTGGACAGCGGGGTTTAGTGTTCAAGGTTTTAGGGTTTACTCGCCAGGGATAAAGGTTTTCAAGGTTTTTTGTGGGTTTTCAAAGGTAAAGGCTCAGGGTTAAGAGTTTGGCCTTAGAGTCGGGTTGATAGACATTGTGGCTGAGCTGGGCTGGGCTGCTGGCTAGGTCATTCGGGCCCTGGAGGGCTTATAGAAATTGGTAAGGGTTTGGATGCCAATAAGCTTTGACCGAAACGAACTGATTTCGAAGGCTGGGGCTGGGGCTGGGGCGGGGTTGGTCCTTGGGGCTTGGGTGGAGTGGGCTGGCTTTGCGCATTGCTTTCCACTTTTTAGTGGCGGCTGAAATGAACAATGTCTTTTTGTTTCAATCTTGAGGGCTTACGGTCCAGGGTTTTGGCTTGGATAACGGTGGAGAATGGTGGGCATTCTTGTTTGTGGGTTAGGTTTCAAACGTTGGGACTTTGCGTTTAAGGGTTTAGGGTCTTCGGGTTTAAGGTTTCAGCACTCACACTCGGACATGCCTGGGTTTAGGTCGCAGGGTTTGGGGGTTTTCGTGTTTAAGGCTCAGGTTTTACAGCATGGGTTTTAGGATTTAGGGCTTAAAGCCGACAGTAGCGTTCATAGGTGGAAGTCCATGACCAAAACCATGTTCAAGGGTCCAGAGGTACCCATAGGTTGCCGTGTGGTGGTTTCCTCCATGCCTTGCCATGCGCTCCATGATGGTACCCGGGTAGCTGTGAGCGACCGTGCGGACCCCACCGAACATGTGCACCATGTTCGTCCAGCAAGCACCGTGCCAACTGGAAAGCTTCTGGGCGTCTAGCTTTCCCATGTTCGACGAGCTCACGAACATAATTGAATATCCTTGTGTTCTAAATCGACGTCTGGATGCATGGGGAACTACGGAGAGGTGTTTACCGAAGCGCCGACATAGGAAAACTGCAGGGACAGCATCGATGCATTTATATGGACGTGCTGCTCCCCCTTTGACTACAGCACGGCACAAGTGCGCACGCGATGTAGTGCAACGTTAAGATCCGAAGCCCCAGAGCCGAAAGAAGCATCCTGGAACGTACAGGTGCGAATCAGATACCTTGAGGGCTGGAGCCAGCTCCACTTGCTCCCAGCCTCTCTTCCAAGCCGACGTAGGTTAAGAGGGGAGGCAATGAGAGGTTGAGGCGGTGTATCCACAAGGTTCAGTGCCGTTGGTGGCATCTGCCTGCAAAGGCACATGACCATGAAACACGCCGCAATGAAGCAACTTATGAAGAATAAAGACCTTATAGGCGTCCACCCCGGCAACAAGAGTATGGCACAGTTTAAAGAAGAGGCGCTAGCACTGCAACGTTATTCTAGGTTTGTGGGCGGTGGGTTGTCCGGCTATCCGGGCTGTTGTCCGAGCTGTCTGGGCTGTTCAGCACTCACAACTGATCCAAGCCTGCCGAGGTTACTGGTGCGACGAAGCGAGCACATTGTCCACTACAACACGAAAAGCAGTGATGTTCACCATCCCCTCGTCTTATCTCGAGAAGCACTCCATCCCGGCCCCGTCAAAGGTAGGCACTCAAAGCCAAGCAGTCAGCTTGGGGCCCCTCCAAGGGACTTCTTTTGCTCAACATCAACTCACTCATTCCCCCCGAACCCATGCAGAGAGTACAGATCAAACAGCTTCCATGTGAAATCCTTGACGTGCAGACAATGCAGACCCATTCTCGCTTACTACGCTTACAACATGCAATAAATGAGTTCCAGAGAAAATCCTGCTCCCCCATTGCTCAGTGGCCCAATGCAAACGACAAAGGTCTGACAGCTGCAATACCGAATCGTTGACATGCAGACCCGTCTGTCTGGCGGTTGCTGAAAAGAAGATTCTTCATGTTCAACTTTCCTGTTCTCCGCAAGCAAATCAGTGACCTATGCTCCGACGGACGGAACTGGAGGGCCAGCCACAGCACATCGAGATCTTGCTGATCAAAAATGACAGCCTTGGTCCAACCGTGTCCGGGAGAGCGCGAGGAACCTACAAGCAGCCACCATGGGCAACACTCGCGCAAGTAAGCTTCTGAACATCTTTCTCGCTCATTTGGGGCCTCTTTCGCCTGATCGCCGGCGCCGGCGCCTGGAGTGTGAGCCTGAGCATTAGGCGGAGATGCTGCTCCTTCCCTTCCTGCCACCGCTCGTCAATGCTCACACATCACCAGCATTCGCCTCTTCGCCGTCTGCGGCTGTGCCTACAAAGAATCTTCGAAGGCGCGGTTCTGCAGTGGTGCAACAGAGGACACCTTGATCTGCTGCTTCGTTTGCTCCGGCTCCGGCTTCTGCTCCGACTGGCTTTCTTGGCCTACAGGAGTCGAGAACAAAAGCTCGAAGCCGACATGCAGCCCGCCTCTTTTGGGGGCGGCATCGCTGTCGCCTTTTTGTCTGGCCCTGGCGAGATCTGGCACCGGCGCAATGAATGAATGACGCGCTCTGTTGAGCCTTTAGCCGTCGTGTCAGGCAAGGAGGAAGACCTGACACGCATGCTTGTACTCACTGATTGTTTATAGACTCTTCTGCTTTGACCCTGCATGAAAGGAGCCTCGCTGCCTAAAATTTGGCCTGTGAACTCTGAGGAGCTGTCTCCGACTCCGAGCTCGCCTG